CGAGCGCAAGAGAACTTCCACAAGAAACCCGACCCCGAGACCCCAGGGCGTCCGTCGATCCTCGGTGCGGGAGCGTCGCGCTCTCCATCGACAACAAACCGTCGGAGCCCGAGCAACCCAGGGCACCCTGGAGGCAGGCGGTGTGCTTCTTGGCACGGGTCTCCACTGTACCCCAAGATTGATGTTCCCGCCGAGTCTAGGAAGCAATACGTAGAATGCCCCCTGGAGCTACGAAATTTCTACGCGTGTCTCGTATACTCGGCGGGGGAATCAACTTTGGAGTAAATCAATTATGTAGTTGGTCCCCTAGTCGAAGACGCTCATCCCAGCAGAGCGCACCGAAACCAAGAGCAGATGTCCAGTTTAATGCGACTGCTTTGCACGTGCAGGGGGAGCGTGTCTTCCTCCTCCCCCGCCCCCTCCCCCCTCCCACCCATCCCTCATGTTTGGGCAACCGAAATGGGTACGGACAAACATGAGCACGATGCCAAATAACAAACGCTGACCCAAACCGACAACGGCCTCTGTTTGGCAGGCGGCCTTCTGTCTCAGATGGACAACGACCGCGGCGACGCTGCCAGCGGATCCTGCTCAGAATGATCAGGGAATGGTGTCGGTCTTTGTACAGTCGGACCTAAGCCAACAAAAACATCCCTCAAGAACATGAGACCCTCCGCGGGCCAAGACCCACATAACGTATTAGGGTACCCATCCCAGGATGCACAAGAACATCCAACAGCCACGAAGAACACCAGGGTACCCTCCCCGAACCGACCTCGATCTTATACCTCGGTCCGACTGTACCCGTTCTCTCCGTACCCATTCCGATAGTATTGATCATCCCTCTCACCCCAACGTCCCTTCTTCGGGGGGGTCGCCTCTGGAGTCCTGTCCCGCTGCCTGTGCTTGGGCCTCCCAAGGAGGCGTCCGCCTGGCTACGGAGCCAGAGATTCTGGGCGTTGTGCGAAGGTACCCTCCCCAGGATGCACAAGAACGTCCAACAATCCCCGCACCGACCTCGGTCCGACAGTACTTGACGACTGGAGCTGCTGCTGGCCCGCGTGCGCGTTGACGGACCTGGGCCTCGGGCTGCCCCTCCAGTCTGGCCAGCTCCCTGCGGGCGCGGAAGCAGCGGTTTTTGCCTAGGCCTCCCAAATGGGGTCCGAGTAGATGGGGTCAGAGGATCGCGCCGCATCGCTGACCCATCTAGGGGTCTCTATCTTACCACGGGGCCGAACTGCTGGCGAACCACGCGCGGGGCTGGCGCGAGGAGGCTCCGCAACGCAACCGCGTGCACCACGAGCTGACAGAAGTGCCGCTCGGCCTCTTTTCGTCCGCGTCTCTCGGCGCGGGAGGCCACGTGCGCGCCTTCATCGAGACGCGCTTGCTCAGCAGGGCTGCTGCCAACGTCGCGACGCGGACCATCACACCCTACAGTCGTCTCGTATCATAAGGATGCGCGATAAGGATGCAAGGGCCGTGGACGCCCATTTCGAAGCTTTTCGAGCGGGGTGCGGCCAACGAATGCGGCCAAGGATGGGCCAAAAGGGCAAGGATGTAAGGATACCCGTCGGAAGGATGCCCATCATTGTTATGCGGGTTGACTGAATCGTAGCGTGGGCTGGGGTGCTCCTCCTGCCACCAGGTTCGCCAGTGGCGCCTGCAATCCGGGCGGCGCTGAAAGCCGGGGACAGCACCCGAGTGCAACATGCTGCGGCGGTGGCGCAGGCGACGGGCGATGGCGGCGTGTCCGCCCCGCCCCCCGCTCCATTTGACCGCTGCGGCAAAGGCGGGGCCGAAGGCCCGGTGGCAAGCGGTCCGCTCGTGGGCCCGCGCAGGCGGCTTTGTCGAAGATCCGCGAGGCGGGGCGCGCGCGGTGCCGCGAGCAGCTGGGCAACCTCAACGACAACGGGCTGCTGCCCATCACCGAGGTGCTGCCTTTGCAGAGGCAGTGGCCCATGGCCCTGCAATGGGTGGGTTTGGGGAAGTCGACGTGGGAGTTTCGCAGTGCCTGCTGCGCGGCACGAGTCACCTCTGAGATTCCTGCAGGTGTGTGAGGTGGCTGCCCCGGGCGAGGTTCCTGATCGGATGCGCCCTGTATGCGCTGGCGCGCCGAGCAGCCTCGGACACCTGCTGGTGCAGGTGCTCCGCTGGCAAGCGCCTCCGGGACGCCATCCTCGAGCGCTGGGCTCTCGGCCTGGTGGCACCGCGGGCCCTGCGCGGCGCGGACGCCCTCGACGAGCTCGCCGCGAAGGTCCGCCGCCCATCGGCTCCCCGCCGCCGCCCCCGCCCACGCGCGCGGGAGCGCGGGGCGAGCGGCGTGCCCTCCCTGGCGCCCCGCGCGCCAGGGAGGGCCGCTCGCCCTCGCCGAGCGGGGCGAGCGGCTCCTCGCCCTCGCCCCCGCCCCCCGCGCGCCTGCCCCGACCCCTGGGCCGCCCACCCGGACAATCCGACTCCCTTCTCCTCCTCCTCCTCCTCCTCCTCCTCCTCCTCCTCCTTGTCCTTGTCCTCCTCCTCCTCCTCCTCCTCCTCCTCCTCCTCCTCCTCCTCCTCATTGTCCGCCTCCGCCTCCTCTTCCTGCTCCTCCTCCTCCTCCTCCTCCTCCTCCTCCTCCTCCTCCTCCTCCTCCTACTCTAGGCTGCGGCCTACCTGGCAGGGCCAGAGTCCCGAGGGGCAACGCCCCCGCCCCGGCGCGCCGATGGCCTGTATAGGCCCTGCGGGGGGCCTGGTGCACGGCGCGGGGTGGCCGCTGGCTCGAAGGGTAGCAACACTGGCGGATAGCTCAACGGATATGAGTATCGTCTAACCGATCCCCTTCGCCAGCGGCGTGGCCTGGGCCCAACTGGCCCAACTGGGATATAGGTCGTTCCCTTCGGGTTTCAAGGGGTGTATCCCCAACTGGGGAGGTAATTTGGTGGGGTATCGAAGGGGGTGGGGATGGGGATGGGGATGGGGATCGGTTAAGCGATACCGAGTATAGCTCCCAACATAGGCTGCGAGATCCGCCCGGGGCAGTCTCCCGGGGAAGGACCTCCCGCCGTGTGCCGGACCCGTCCGAGGAGGTGCGTGAAAGAGCATTTTGCCCGAGGTGCTTCCGGACCCTCACACAACGACCACAACGGTTCTGTGGCAACTCATGGGGGCCTCCGATGCCATCTTGCTGGCTCTTGCGGGTCGACGCTGACCCACACTAATCGACGATCATCGACGCTAACTCGACGCTGATCGACACTTGGTTGGCGTTTTCTCATCTACTACCGGACGCTGACGCACGTGAGTGCACTCTAAAGACGGAATTACAAGGACATACAAGGCTCCCATGATTTGCTATCGAGACAACGGCCTTCTCCCCATTCTCCCCCCTCCGCCCTCCCCTCCCCTGGGGCTTCTACTGACCTGGGCCAGTTCAATGCAATCCTAGGTCAGTGATGCTTTGCAGGATCCTCCAGGATCCTCCAACATCCAGCAGGATCCTGCGCGCAAGCCCAGGTCAATGCAACCCTGGCTTTGCAGGATCCTGCAAGTTCCGGCGCTCTGGCTGAGCCCCCGTTCGCATTGATCCCCCTCTCTTGCAGCTCGACTTCTCCCCCCTCCGCCCTCCCCCTCTCAGACGAAACCAGGACGAGGATAACATCGGGTGATTTTAAGGTGGGAAATATGTGAGATTCGGCGGCTCTGGAGGATGTATCGGGCGCCGCTGCCTTCCTCCTCCCCCTCCTCCTCATCCTCCTCAAAAACTTCCTCCGCCTACCCTGTCACGTTTTTTTTAGCTGCTTCCTGTGATCACACATCCCGTCGCCATCGACGGCCAAAACCTTCAGGGTCGGCGGCGCCAGCCGTAAGGCCTTCACAATATGTGAGATTCGGCGGGGCTCTGGAGGATCTATGGGGCGCCGCGGCCTGCTCAGAGCGTTCCAGAACGTTCTGAGCGCGTTCTGGAACGCTAATGGGGCGGATTTATCCTCGTCCAAGCCCCGCCCGACAATGACATGGACCGATCTTACGCGGTGGCGTGCGCGGGCCGCCAGCGCGGCACGCCACGTTGGCAACGATGGCGCTTACGCGCGACCTTACGCGCGACAATGTCCACGCAAAGTACCTTTGTTTCTTCCGTCGCTCGCATTTATCAGGGACCGACCGTCCCGGCATTCCGATATGCCTACTCACATAATGTTCTTAGAACTGAAGATGTTCGAATAACGACAACAACGTCCTTAGAGCATAGACCCGGTGCATTGAAACAAGACGGTCTCAGCCAGAAATGCTGTAATAACATTTCGTGCAAGCCACAGAAGGGTCTGAGAACATTATTCGAAGGGCCTCCAAGCATGCCAGGGCGCTTCGCCACTGCTTGATACGCGGGCAACTCACGCGCCAGTGCCCACGCAGACGACCTTGTTCTCTACCGTCGCTCGCATGTGCCCAGGGGCTCCGACCGCCCCTGTGAAGGAGCCCAGACACACGACTAAGCACACACAGAAGGCCTAGGCGTCTCCATCTTCTCTAATATCGTCTGGACTTCCGTATTATTCCCCCCCCTTCCCCACATTTTCCCGTGTATTTTTTTCCGGGGAATCGACGAGTCACGTATGTCTGTGTGTTTTTGTCCCCTCCTGACACGTTGGCGGGCAACGTCAGCGGGGCGCCTCGCCTTCCCCCTCTACCCCCCCCCCCTCCCGGGGCGCCTCGCCTTCCCCCTCTACCCCCCCCCCCCCCCCGGCGCACCTCCGCCGCCCCCGACGGGCGGGCTCCTCTTTCAGCAGGGACCGACCGTCCCGACGTTCCTCCACGAGACGCTCTCGGAACCCAGAACTGTTCCAAGAGCAAAAAAACACTGTTCCTTGGAACGTGAGCCCGATGTGCTGAAACAAGACGGTCGCAGCTAGAAAGCTTCTGCCGACCAAATCGCTGCACCCACAGCAACAGACCCGAGGTGCTAAGACACAAAACGGTCTCAGTCAGAAAGGTTCTAAGAACATTTCGCGCAGACCGCAAAATGACTACCTACCCATACCACCCCAACCCAACCCGAAGACCCGAATTTGACCCGAATTTCGGGTTGGGGGGGTACGGATTCCATGTGTTTTTTCAACGTTCCCCGACCCCCCCCCAACTGGAAATGCAAGGCAAATTGACAGCTTCGGGTTGGGTTGGGGTGCTTTGGTAGGTGGTGACAAAAGGTCCTCAGACGAATTCCCTGGCGGACCCACAGGCAAGCCAGGATGCTTCGCCACTGCTCCACCTCTGGCGGCGGCGCGCTGGCCGGGCGGGGGCCCGGTGCTCGGAGCGAGGGCTGAGCAGGGACCGACCGTCCCGGCATTCCTATGGGCATACAACGAGATTGTCCTTAGGACTCTAAAAATGTTCTATCGGCGGTGGACAAACCTCCCTGTAGTAAACCTCCCTTTAGTGAACACGGCCTGGGACCGAAACCCACGGACCTGGACCCGCAAAAATGACGGCCGCGACGCCCTCTCGCGAACCGAAAACGGCCAATTCCTGAATCGACGTGTCAGGGTAGGAGGTCTGACAACCTCCGATTCTAAACACAAGAACAACGCCCTTAGAACATACGCCCCATGGGTTCAGACAAGACGGCCTCGGTCCGAAAGGTTCGAAGACCATTTCGCGCAGACCACAAGAGGTTCTTAGAACATTTGTTCGTGGACCTATACTCGGGCCAGGCGAAAGGGGGGGTTGAGAACAAGCTCACGTAGCTGATTGTGCCAGCGCCTCCCGGTGCCGGGAGGCGCCCATGTATCGAGGAATGCGCATGGGGCGGCGGGGCGGAAATCAGCTGCACGCAGCAGATTTCGCAAACCCCCATTCCCTATCCCCCCTTTTTGTTCGGCCCGACATTCTTTGGTGGACCTTACAGGCAAGCCAAGACGCTTCGCCACTGCTGCGCCTCTGGTTGAGCAGGGACCGACCGTCCCGGTATTCCTATAGTCCTACCACAATTTTTTAAGAACCCCTAAATGTTCTAAGAACAAAAACCATGTTCGTAGAACATGAACCCGATGCGAGAAAGCAAGACAGACTCCGCCAGAACTGTCATAGGAGGTCTTTAGAACATTGCTTGGTAGGGCTATCGGCGAGCCAAGACACTTCGCCACTGCTTGACCTTTGCTCGGCCCGGCATTCTCTGGCGGACCTAACGGGCACGCCGGGACGCTCCGCCACTGCTCCGCCTCTGGCGGCGGCGCGCTGGCCGGGCGGCCCGGCCCAGCGCTCGCAGAGCGAGGGGCGCACCGCCGTTGCAGCTCCGCCGGACGCGTCGGCGCTGCCGCCGGCGGCCTCCGTGGCCCTGGCGTACGTCGGGCCTGTCGCCCTACAGGCCGGTTTTGGGTGAATAACAGAAAAAGAGGCAAACATACTTCAAAAATGCAATACCCCAAACATACACCACAGATACATCAGACATGCCTCACAAAAATACCTCAGAAATGCCTCAAAAGGAAAAGTAACAAATACCCCCTAAAAATGCCCCCACAATGCTCAAAGATGGTCGGAAGACCTCCTGCAGAGGGACAGGCCCGACCTGGGCCTCGGCGCCCCGGGCCTTCTCCGAGAGGGGGCCACAGGAGGGCAGGGCAGCAGAGGGCAGAGGGCATCGGCGGCGAGCCCGGGGAAGGGGCGAGAAATCGGGGGCGCGCAGACACGGCTGAGCCTGGCATCGCTCGGACGTGTGCATTTTTCCTTCGGCGGGGACCATCGAGGAGCATCCTTGATCATTTGACGAAAAAACCACGCACGAAACCAAAAAAAACACAGGGAATGGACGTCCGAGCGATGGCGAGTGAGGGATCCATGGATCTGGCGCGCGGTCGTCAGGTCCGTGGATCGGGGTTCGGAGGCAACTGCTGGGAGGCCTTCGTCGGAAAGATTATCAGAGAGAACTAAGCCCCACTGGGGGGCTACTGCGCAGGATTAGGCCGTGGATGAACCGGGAATAAGCCCGATGAAGCAGGATTAAGCCGGATTAAGCGGGATTAGACCGGATTGAGCCAGATTTCGGACCAGGGGAAAATATCAGAATTTGACCTCCCAGGAAATGCATCCGAATCGGGGGGGGCATGCAAAAAATGCGGCCGGTGCCGCCTCGCTCGGAGGCGGAAATCCGCGATTTCCCGTGGAAACGGGACCCGTCGCTAATCCACGCTTCCTGAATCCATGTTTTGCGATCGCCTGAGCGAGAAGGGGCGGGCCTGCTCAGAAGGCTCGGCAGCCCCCACGGCCTTCGGAGAAGTCTCCTGGGCCTCTCGTGGTGACGAAGAACACTTCTCAGAAGGCGCGGGGGCCTCCGAGAAGCCGCGAACGCCTTCTGAGAAGGCCTCCTCTCCTTCTCAAGCCCCCACCCTCGCTCGCCGCCGACCTACGACTCGGGGGGGACGCCAGGGCAGGACAGCACAGGGAGGGCAGGGTAGAGAATCGGCCCGCGCCGCTGGTTTTCCTGGCGCCTCCGGCGCCGGGAGGCGGCGCCCACGATTCGAGGGATGGACCCGGCGGTGGAGCCGAACCCAGCTGCACGAAGCAGACTTCGCCCCCCCCCCCCCCCCCCCTTTCCCTTTCCCTGGCATGCCCTTTCGCCTGGCCCGATCCTGGATGGGGCCAAGAATCAGACTTAGGTGTTCCGAACTTGTGTGGTGAGGGACCGCGCGGTGACCTCGAAATTGCCAAAGACCTCACCGCACGGTCCGTCACCGCACGTGGTTAGGACCCAGGAGGCCCCAATTCACTGACTCACCACGCGTTGTGGTTACCACAACGTTTGCCCCCCCCCCCCCCGCGATATGTATATATATATATATACATGTATATATATATATATACACATGCATGCATACATGCATACATGCATACATGCATACATGCATACATGCATACATGCATACATGCATACATACATGCATACATGCATACATGCATACATGCATACATGCATACATGCATACATGCATACATACATACATACATACATACATACATACATACATACATACACACTTATGAATGTGTAAGCACATCTATACATGTATATGCTTGAGCTGCCCAACATCGCGAGAGCCACGTCTCTCGGCATCGCGCGAATCGTAGCAGGCATCAGAACGCAGACGCCGCAGCTCCGTTGCCGCCACAGCCGCGGGGGCAGAATCGTCATTCTCTCTTGCCGCGGGACCGCTGTTCCTTCCCCCCCCCGAGAGGACGGGGGCGGTCCTCCCTTTTCGTAGAGCTTGGAGACCTCCCAGATGGGGTCCGAGCAGGTGGGGTCGGAGGATCGCGCCGCATCGCCGATGCGTCAGTATTAGTTCGCCGACGCATCGCCGATGCATCGGCGACGTCGTCGGTGCACCTGCGCCGTCGGCGAGACAATCTGGCTCCACATCGAACCGCATCGCCGATGCATCGACGATGCGGCCGGATCCTCCGACCACATCTACTCTGACCCAATATGGGAGGCCTAGAGTCTCCGCCTCGACCAGCGTGCGCTCGTCGTAGCACTGCTTGCCGACATCGCGTGTCCGGTACGCGCAGCACTGCTCTTGTACTCCAGGCACTGGTCGTGACCCTCCTTCGACATGCGACAAGAGACGTCCTGCGGAGCAGGGTTAGATGAGACAGCGGCAGCCCGAAATCACTTCCCTGATTCAAGCCGCCGTCGGGACGACCCCCCCCCCCAACCAGGAAACCAACTGCCGTCGTCTCAGCTCGCCCTCATCTGAGTCTAGAGGAGGAGGAGGAGGAGGAGGAGGAGGAGGAGGAGGAGGAGGACCAGAAAGATTGACGTTCGGAGGCCTGCGCACATTTCTTGGATCGGCGCTGGACAGCCCTGCCTGCCGCGCTGCTCGCGCCAGGGGCGGCGCTGGAGGCGCCGCCAAGGCGACCCAGCTCAGATCCAGGAAATCCGTGCGGAGCTCCGACAATTACGCTCACGTAGTTCCCAACTATCCTGTGGTGTCGGATCCTCGTTTTGAAAAAAAAAAAAAAAAAAAAAAAAAAAAAAAAAAAAAAACGCCCCGCGTCCTTCCTCTTCCTCTCCTCCATCCTGCCTCAGCCCTCCGCATATCAAACATGTCGGACATGCCTTCACATGTCTCGCGGCCCCATAAAGGAGCTCCACCTAGGCCCCAGCGGCAGCGTTCGCATGGCGTACCCGTACCCGATTCCGTACACCCTTCCCACGCTTCGTGGCCCCATAGGGAGCTCCATCGAAGGAGCGGCAGCGTCCGCATGTGTCCCCGCCACCAATGTCGGCACACCCCTCACACGCTCCGTGAGTCCATAGGGAGCTCCACCGGAGGCCCCAGTGGCTGCGGCCGCACGCGCCCCCGCCACGCAATACAGCCCACCCCTCGCACGCTTCGTGGCCCCATAGGGAGCTCCACCGGGGCCCCAACGGCAGCGTCCGCACGGCGCACCCGCGCCCGATTCGGCAACCCCTCACACCCTTCGTGGCCAGCCGTCCGCGTGGCGCACCCGCAGCCGATTCGATAGACTCCTCATACGTCTCGTGGCCGCACACGGAGCTCCACCGGAGTCGTCCCTTGGAACTGCGGTGCTCGAGGACCTTCTTGTTCCCGACCATCATGTGGTTTTGGGGACCCAGTTTTGGACAGTCAGCGCCCCGCGGCCCACCTGCTCCTCCTCCTCCCCCTCCTCTCTCCCTCCCTCCTCTAATCCCAGTGGCGCCGTTCGCATGGGTTCCTGCCGCCCATTTTGGCGCCCCCCTCGCACGCTCCGTGACCCCACAGGGAGCTCCACCCGAGGCCCTAGCGGCTGCCCTGAGCTCCACCTAAGGCCCCAGCGGCTGCGGCCGCATGCGTCCCCGCCACCCATTTCCGCACACCACCCCTCACATGCTTCGTAAATGGAGCTCCACCAGAGGCCCCCTGGCCGCGGCCGCATGCGTTCCCGCCACCCATTTCGGCACATCCCTCACACGCGCCGTGGCCCCTCAAGGAGCTCCACCGGCGGCCCCCCATTGGCTGCAGCCGCAGGCGTCCCCGCCACTCATGTCTGCACACCCCTCAAACGCTCATAGCCCCATCGGATGCTCCATCTGAGGCCCCGGTGGCTGCGGCCGCAGGCGTCCCCGCCACCCACGTCGGTAAATCCCTCACACGCTTCGTGGGCCCATAGGGAGCTCCACATGAGTTCCCTGTGGCTGCGGGCGCATGAGTCCCCGCAATCAATTTCGGTACACCCTGACTCGTTTTGTGGCCCCATAGGGAGCTCCACCTGAGGCCTCAACGGCAGGGCCCGCATGCCGCGTCTCGTGGCCCTGGGGAGCTCTACCCAAGGCTCCAGTGGCAGCGCCCGCATGGCGGCCCCGCCCCATGTCGGCACACACCTCACACGCTTCGTGGCCCCATAGGGAGCTCCAATTGAGGCCCTGGTGGCGGCACGCGCATGGCTGCCCCACAGCGCTCCGTGGCCCCAAAGGGAGATCCACCGGTGGCGATGTTCACAACGACGGCACTCACGACTGCAGATGGCTGGGTCATCCGCCAGGCTACTTCTTCTTCGAGTCCGTCGGCGGCACGCAGGGGTGACGCTGGGAACGGGTGTGACCTTTGGCGCGCGGCTTCAGGGGGGGGGGCAGGAGAGCACAACCCAAGTGCGCAAGCTGCTGCCATCGCATCGCGTGCAGCCATCGGGGGACCCCAATGCGCCCGCACCACACGTCACTCTGGCGAAGGGTCACTGCAACGTGTAGTCGAGAGTAGAGGAAAAGAAACCGGCATAAGCGTAAAACTGTCGGAGGTCAGCGCGGATTTCTTGGATCTGCGCTGGACCCACCTCCCCGGCGCGCGGAGCGCGCCAGGGGCGGCGCGACGGGCGCCGCCAGGCGGCCCCAGCGCAGATCCGAGAGATCCGCGCGGAGCGCCGAAAGTTTACGCAGATACCGATTCTTCTCCTTGTTCGACCTTCTACGTGCAGTCGAGGGTTAAGCGATTAAGGACCCCCCCCCCCCCTCTCCGGTGAAAGGATAACGCACCCGGCACCCGGAAGCGTTATCCTGGCACCAGGAGGGGGTACACCAGATCGCACGGGTCCCACGGATTCTCATTACAATTCTAATTGGGATGCCACCCGAGGCGGGGCGCTGGAATTATTTATTTTCCTTCCATTTGCGCGGTGCTAATGATATCGCTCGGCGAAAACCCCCCAAAAAAATTATTTAATTACGGCGCGGTGCTAATGATAACGCCGGGGGGTTCCTTAATTGCTTCTCCGGCTCGGGTTACCCTCCCCCAGGAAGCACCAGCACACCCAACAAGCATGAAGAACATTACAGCAGGAGCTCGACCACGAGGAACCTTCCACAGGGAACCCAACTCTGGAACCTTCCCTCGAAACCCAAGAAACCCAGGGCACCCTGGAGGCAGGCAGGGTGTTTCTTGGCATGGGCTTCCACTGTTAGGGCACCATCCCCGAACCCACCTCGATCTCTCGGGGGCGCGCAAACATGGATTAGCGATCCATGGATTTGCCGCGCGGTCGCCAAATGCATGGATCGGGGGAGGTGCCCTCCCCAAAATGCGGCTGGTGCCTCCTCGCTCGGCGGCGGAAATGCGCGAGTTCCCATGGAAACGGGACCCGTCGCTAATCCACGCCCCCTTGATCCATGCTTGCGATCGCCTGAATCTCATACCTCGGCCCGACCGCAGTCGAGAGTCCTTCTTCGTGCCCTGCGCGCCGGTGGCCCTCGCCGCCGCCGGCGACGCATCACTGCAGGGCGCTGGCCGGCGCCGGCGCCGCTCACCGCAGGGTGACGCAAAGACCAGCGCGCGCCGCCCGGAGCGCCTCGGCGCCCTGCTCCACGCCCTGGCCCTGGAGGTCTCTGGCGTCGAGCTCCTGGAGGTCAAGGGGCCCGAGCCTCCGCCCCCCCCCCGCACCTCCTCCTCCTCCTCCTCTTCCTCCTCCTCCTCCTCCTCCTCCTCCTCCTCCGCCTCCTCCTCCTCTTCCTCTTCATCTTCCTCCTCCTCCCCCTCCTCCTCCTCCTCCTCCGCCGCCTCCTCCTCCTCCTCCTCCTCCTCCGCCTCCTCCAACCCCTCCTCCTCATCTTCGTCCAGCTCCTCCTCAAATTCCTCCTCCTTCTCCCCCTCCTCCTCCAATTCCTCCTCCCCCTCCTCCTCCTCCTCGTCCTCCTCCTGCGTAACCCTCCGGCCCTATCTCTGGGGGAGGGATTTATCCAGAACCACCGCCTGGGCGATCAAACTTGGGGGATGTTGGCAGGCGGCGGAGATACACATAGCCAAGCGAGGTCTCCGAAGATCCTTCCCCCAGGCGGTGGTTATGGATAATAATTGCTCGCTGTGCACATCTTTCGGCGGCGCGCCGCGAGGGGACAGGCCTCCCAAGAAGGCGGCGGGGCATCTCAGAAGGCCCTCCAGCATTCCCCCATGTGGCATCGTGGACGGCTCAGACAAAGCTGCTGAGAAGGCCAAAGCCCTTCTGACCACTCCGAGAAGGCCCGCGCCTCCGCCCCCCCCCCCTCCCCCCTCGGCGGATGCTGCTGAACAACTGCTCTGGCCCCATTCGTCGGGGGCCCGAAGCCAGAGGCCTGCCAGACTCCAAGATGGGGACGGAGTAGATGGGGTCCAAGGATCGCGCCACATCGCCGATGCATCGGCGAAACATCGGCGATGCATCGGCGACTTCAGCATGGAGAAAATCAGGCTCCACACCGAGCCGAATGGCCGATGCATCGGCGATGCGGCGCGATTCTCTGACCCCGTCGACTCGATCTCAACTGGTAGGCCTCAATCAAATCTTCTGGTAGGCCTAAACAATACATGCATACACCCTGCGAAATGCTTAAGAAATCATGGGTTAAGACATTCATAGTCTCAGAACTTGAATAAGAACCCAACATTTCCATTAAAGTCTTAAGATTTACATTGAAACATTAAGAATAATCGAGACTCTGGCCGAAAACTTGGGTTTTCTTAAGCATCGCCTAAGGTGTATTGGTTTGTAAGAACGCCTGGCCCCCACTGGAGCAACGAAGAGAAGCGGGTCGTTCGCGCGATGTCACAGCGACCTTTCGCGGGGGCTTATGCGTGGCCTTGCGCGGGTAGCTTGTCAATCGGGGATGCGTCGACCCCTGTCCAAGGCTTTGGGAGGCTTTCGCCTGGACCGAAAATCTGGGCCCAACCATGGGATATAGGATGGGCGGGACGTCCGTCCTCGATAGTTGGGCGCCCGAGTTATCCGGGGTAACTCGGGTCCGGGGTAACTCGGGCTTGGATTCCCGAAAAAGAAGCCCGAGTTAGCCCTGACCCGAATTACCCCTGATGATTCGGGGCTCTGGACGCCCGAGTTATCCGGGGTAACTCGGGTCCGGGGTAACTCGGGCTTGGATTCCCGAAAAAGAAACCCGAGTTAGCCCTGACCCGAGTTACCCCTGATGATTCGGGGCTCTGAGATAGGGTTGCGTCCGAATAGCCAACTTGGGGTATCCCAGGGTCCCCCTCCTTTTTTGACCGCCTTCATTTTTCGTCGCACAGTCGTGGAGTAGGGAAAAAATGGCCCGCGCGACTTACGAGCGAATCTCCACGCAGACGACCCCGTTTTTGCGCGTCGCCAGTTGAACAGGGCCCGACCGTCCCGGCATTCGTCGTCCCACGAAATGTTCCTAGAACCCCAAAATGTTCTAAGAACAACAACAATGATCTCAGAGCATACACCCGATGTGTTAAAACAAGACAGAGTCCCAGCCAGAGATGTTCTAAGAACATTTCGTTGGGACCAACTAGAGGTTCTTACAACATTGTTTGGTAGGGCTATAGGCGAGCCAGGACGCTTCTCGGGAGCGGCCAAGAGAGGGGTGTCCAAAAGGGGGGGGTGCAAATCATGACCGGCGGCATGTGCGCGGCCCAGCGGGGGGGCCAGGGACGTAATAAAACAAGAAGAAGCGCCATGAAAGCTGGGGAAATATCATGACCCCCGCCATGACATCCACCCCCCCCTAGTCATCACCCCCCTCTTTTCCGCCCCCGAGCTTCGCCACCGCTTGAGTGTGGGAGGCCGGAGCCATTTCTTGGAGGCCCGGCGCTCCTTCAGCGCGGGCAGGGCGCCCTGCTCCTGCAGGGCGACGGCACAGCTGCCGACGCCGCCACGCCCCAGACCTCGCCCGGGGTGCGTTCGCACTCGAGGCCTCCCAGGCGAGTCCAGCGATGGCGACACGAGGGGCCTCCCAGGAGGCCCGACAAGGGCAGAGCGAGGCAAGGATATATATATATATATATATATAAATATAGGAAGGAAGAAGCACGTAAACATAAACGAGGGCCTCCCAGGAGGCCCGAAAAGGGCAGAACGAGGCAAGGCGATATAGAGGAAGAACAAAACATGTAAACATAAGCATTCGACGCTCCGTGCGGAATCCTTTTGGATTTGCGCTGGGCCCCCCCTCCCTGGCGCGCGGACCGCGCCAGGGGCGGCGCCGGAGGCGCCGCCAGGGGGCCCCAGCGCAGATCCAAGAAATCCGCGCGGAGAGTCGAAAGCTTATGTTTATTTGTTTTTTCTTCTTCGAAGCTAGCTGAGCATCGTTTAACCGACCCCCATCCCCAGCGGCGTAGCCTAGGCCCCACTGGCCGATTTAGCCCCCTGGATGGGGATATAGGCCGTTGCTTTCGGGCTTCGAGGGTGTATCCCCAAGTGGCGGGATACTTTGGTGGGGGTCTCGAAGGTGATGAGGATGAGATGGGGGTCGGTTCAACGATACTGACTGGCGGCGTGGGCGCCTCTTCTGCGGGCAATACTTCTGTCCATATCCACTGCAATATGGAGTTTCGGGCTGCCTTTCCCCAGAACCCCGAGGCACACTGTATATGGATAAGTTTGCCCACCGCAGAGGCTAGATTCTTATCCACATCCAGTGCGCCTCGGCCTTGAGGCGCTTCTTCCAAAAAAAAAAATCAAGACGCACTGGATATGGATATGTGGTATAAGTCTTGCCCGCACCTTCCCCGTTCAACGATACTGACTGGCGGCGTGGGCACCTCTTTTAACAGGGCATATGTCGACCCCTATCCCAGACATCGTGGGGTTTTCGCATGAAGCAGAAATTTGAGCCCCAACCCTGGGATATACGATTGGGGGGCGCTCGTCCTCGATAGTGGTGCGTCCGAATAGCCTCCTTGGGGTGTATCCCAGGGTTTCCCTCTTTTTCTGAGAGGTCATACTTTTCGGGCGAAGTTCGGGGATTGGGGGAGAAAAGTCACCTGCGATCTTTCCCCCCCCGGGAGCGCCAGCTTGCGCGCCAATTCCCGCAACGTCCAATCGCTCAACATCGACCGATTCTGGGTCGCCGGCGGCATTCAACGTTAAACGCCGCGGGCGGGGGTCGCCGCGGGTCGACACGACGCGAACCTACCGTAGGATATAAGCCTTGCCCGCATCTCCCCCGTTCAACGGTACTGACTGGCGGCGTGGGCACCTCTTCCCCCCCCCCCCCGGGAGCGCCAGCTTGCGCGCCAGCGCGCGCAGCCCCTCGCCCCCCACGGCGCTGCCGGAGACGTCGAGGTGCCGGAGCTCCGGCGCGGCCCCCTCGGCCAGGGGCCGCAGCAGCGCCTCGGGGGGGGCAGCACGGGGGGGGGGGGGGGAGCGGGCCCCGCGGTTGTGGAGGTCGGAGAGGGGAGGAGGAGGAGGAGGAGGAGGAGGAGGAGGAGGAAGAGGAGGAGGAGGAGGAGGAGTGGCAGAACGAAGCATGGTGCCAATCGTGGAGCTGGCGAGGCCATCTGCGACATATGACATGGAATCAACATACCCCCCCTATAACATGGAATCAACATTCCCCCCCCCCTTTATGCCATGCCCCTTGCCCACCTCCAGAGCGAGGGAGACGGGCCCTGGAGCCCCCGGGGGGCGTGCCTGCAGGCGATCTCGGGCGCGGGTTACTGAGGGTGCGGTAAAATGGGTGGGGGAGGGATGCTCTTCTTGGGGGCTGCAAGGACCCCTTCTGGGCCCTACCAGGGCCCCTTGACGGCCCCCCAAGGGGCCCCTTTCTGAAGCCCTCGCTGCCCCCCCATTGATCGCCCTCCCGTGACGCGTCCTCCGAAGATCGCTGGTTTGGGGGTATTGGGTAGTTTTCGTGGGTTCGCGGCGGCTTGCTCGCCTCGGGAGGCTTCTCTTCTCAGCCACTGCGCCTCGACGAGAGCGTTCCGGGGGTGCCCGCATCGTCCCGAACGGCTGCCGGAGAGCCTAGTTATGACCAGAAAACCTAAGAAGGTGGGCCATCCCTGAGTTCCTGGCGACGCATTTGTTCACAAGCATGAGATTTGCGGTGTTTTCGGGAGTAGCACGAATTTGTTTCTCGCAAGGTAAATTGAACTGAACGGAACTGAATTGAACAGACTGGTCGCACCCGTTACGCGACGGTGTTATTCTCGGCCGCCAAGGGCGCATCCTATGGCGCAACCGATAGGAGACGGTACTCTCGGCCGCCAAGGGCGCAACCTATGGCGCAACCAACAGGAGACGGTTTTATTCTCGGCCGCTGAGGGCACAACCTATGGCACAACCGATATGAGACGGTTTGATTCTCAGCCGCCGAGGCCACAAACTATGGCGCAACCGATGGGAGACGGTTTGATTCTCAGCCGCCGAAAACGCAACCGATGGCGCAACCGATCGGAAACCTAGCTGGAGCAGTAAGACGAGGAAGACGAGGAGGATGAGGAGGACGAGGAGGAGGACGACGACGACGATCAGGACGGGATGAATACGAGTAGTACGAGAACGAAGTGTGGGTATTGCATTCGAATGCGTGCGGGGCTACGCCCGAGTTATGCTCGCCGTTTGGGCTGGCGGTGGGGCCCAAGCGGCGAGCTGTCTTGTGATTCGGCCCTCAAGGCCCTCACGGACCGATCCGTTTGTCAAATGCAACAAGTAAAATCCAAAATTCCGATCGATTCCTTTTACGATGTTACAACCTTCCGTGACGTCGGATCCCAGAGAATGCGTTGTGCCCAGTCGTTTCCTGTCAGCCCTGGGGCTCAAGAAAAGCCCCATGGGGTCTGGAAACGGCCAAAAACTTCAGGACCCGTTCCAGCACGACCTCCGATATCATCTTGTTCTTTCAGTGCACGGCCCCACATGTCCCGACCCCTTCCACAAGATGTAGTTATTCGTCCCACCTTCGTTTTTGAGTGACATCGAAATCATAACAATCGCATCGTCGGAGATCTGGGCTTGCGGGCTATGACTGGGGCCTCGCACGGCCGCTTGGGAAGATCCTGGCGCTCCTGGAACGCTGTCGGCGATGCGCAGCCGCTGGGACGCAGCCCGAGGCGAGAACACCTCCAAGAACCGACGCGACGTTCTCAAATCGAGGAAACACATCTAGGATCGGGAGGGCGCGAGAAACACATCTAGGATCGAGGAAACACATCGAGGAAACACATATAGGAAACAATTCTCAAATCGAGAAAACCTCCAAGAACCAACATCCGCTAGTCTCCAGCGCTCGGTCTTGTTCCCGCGCGATTTTTGGGAGGGGAGGACGTGGAGCGGGCGCAGCAGCGCGATGACGTCGGTGGCACAGCCGTGACACGACTACACCCTAGGCGATGCTTAAGAAAACTTACGTTTTCGGCCAGAGTCTCGATTATTCTTAACGTTTCAATGGAAATCCTAAGATTTGAATAGAAGTTTTGGGTTTTTATTGAAGTTCTGAGACTATGAATTTCTTAACCCATGATTTCTTAGGCATTTCGCAGGGTGTACGGCAGGTCCGTGTCGTGTCGACCCTGGCGTTGGTTCATGACACTGCGGGGATCCTTCAAGCTGGAACGATCCGCTGTTTCAGAAACGCCAGATCGTTCAACAAAGGGCCGATTCTGGGCCACGGGCGGCGTTTAACCTGGAACGCCAGCGCGCGGGTCGCCACAGGTCGACACGACGCGAACCTGTCGTAAGCTATTTACCCAGCCACTTCGAGCACCGTGCACACGAGTTGCAGTAAAGCGCCGAGCCACGTCGAGAGGTTGCCCTGCGAGCGACGGCTTGTGCGAACGATTTCTCTGCGGCGGCAGGCAACTGTGAGAGAAGCGCGGGAAAACGACGGTTTCACCGAAACGAACAAGGCGATAGACCTGCGACACGCCGGGCCAACGGCATCGTGGACATCCTTCCGCCTCGCTGGAGGTGGCCCACGGTAGAGTGCATCCCCGATGGCGCCGTCAGATGTAAGGCGGGGTCGGCGGATGTGGCGCAGGCCTGCAAAGTCAGGATCCACGTTCGGAAAGAAAGCGTTGAGCGGCAGAATGTTCCGCGGATGCTGTAATGCAACATACGGCAAGTTCGTGTCGTGCCGACTTCGGCGTCGGTTTTTCTGACATCGCCGGGATTGTTCAGCCTTGAATCATCGGCTGTTTACGAAACGTCAGATCGTTCAACTGAAGGGGCCCCAGGACACACAAATAAATACACACAAATAAACATATTCCCCATATTTTCCAATATTTTCTCGGTTATTGTCTTCCCCCCCACTTCCCATATTTTCCATATTTTCTGGGGAATCGACGATTAATTGTGTCTGTGTGTTTGTTTTCCTCCTGAATTATCGGCTGTTTACGAAACGTCAGATCGTTCAACGTCGACCGAGTCTGGGAGTCTGGGTCGCCGGCGGCGTTCAACGTTTGAGCGCTCGCGGAAGGGGCCGCCGCCGGTCGACGCGTCGCGAACCTGCCGCATCCGAGATATCCAGGGGCATAATCCCTGCAGCTTGCATCGTTGTACAATTGGGGCGTTGACCTAAGGAGCCCCAGATCAGGAGCGAGGCCCCTTTTTTCCATAAGTTAAACTTCGACTCCCCCTCAAAAACGTCAGTCAACCCTGAGGCAAGCTGTGAAACAATTAAGGAGCACGGAGCCCCTCCACAACGAAAAGGATTCCTTCTTCAGCGCACCGACTGTATGCTGTTGCGTCATTCTGAAGTCCCCCCTCCCACCCTCCCAAGAGGCCACGCCACTTCCGCCGGCCTGGGTGCCCCCCCTTCCCCCCCGCGTGTGGGGCCCAGGCACTAGCAGAAACCTGTGGCAGTGTACGATCTCAGCCTCTTGGGCCTCTAGGGGTGTCGAGAAGAAAGCCTCCAGACGGCTCACGACGGCCTAAACACGGCCCAAGAGGGCCCCAAGACAGCCCAAGATGGCCCCTAGAGGACCCAAGAAGAGCGCCTCCAGAGGCCAAGAAGAGAAACATCATTGGTTTTTCTCGAGTTTTTCAAGGATTGGTGCGTTCTCACTTGTTTTCTGCTCTCAGAAGCCCCTAACGGCTCAAGCAGCCTCCAAGATAGCCCCAAAACGGCCCTAAAGACCCCCCAGAGGGGCTCAAGACGACCAAAGAGGGCACATATATGGCCCAGAGAGGCCCCACGACGGTCCAAGAGGCTCCCCAACGACTGGACTGTGGCGAATGGAGTCCACGTCTGGAAGTGACGTGTTGCCAGAGGAAGGTCTGCGAATGCTGTAATGAAACGTATCCACGACATCCACTTATTGTACAATTCCAGCGCATCCCTGTGTTGCAGGTTTGCGACACATTGTTATAGTTTGCAGAATTCCTGACCATATTCTTCTCATTCGTAGTATGATGTAACCCCCCTAGACCCCCCCCCTGAGGCCACGCCACATTCACCAACCCAAGGGTGGAGGACACCTTCTGGGCCTCAATACCTACAAACACCGATGGAACATCGATGATCGCCCCTTATGCCTCTTGGGCTTCCCAGAGGGTCTTGAGACGGCTCAAGATGGTCGCAATATAGCCCAACATTGCCTCCAAACGGCCCAAGACGGCACACGACGGCCTAAGATGGCCCCGAGAGGACCCGAGAGGCCCCCAAGACGGACCAACATGGCCCCATGTGGACCCCAAACAGAGCGTTTCGTTCAGATGCCAAAAACCACAATCCCACCATCCCTTTGGGCTAAGGAAGTCTAACCATGTGTTCTTTCCTTTTCCAAGAACCTCTGCCCTTACAGAAAATTTACCTACCCTCCCTCCCTGAAGATTTGTTCGGGGCGGGTCGCGACGCGTTATGCCGTCAAAGATTGTGCAGGATGGCTCCAAGCGGGCCTCCGATGCGCCAAGATGGCATGTAAGGCGGCTCGAGATAGCCGAAGATGGTACACGATAGCACCCCCTCCAAGAGTCAACAATCATTCAAAAGCCTAGAAAGAAAACCTAGAGTTGTGAATTCTCTCCTTTTCGCTTCCGATGTGTTTTCGAAGCCTCCAGTTGGCCCCAAGATAGCCCAAGAGGTACCCAAGAGGCCCCCCAGACGGCCCTGAGAGGGTGGGGGGGCAAACGTTACGACCCCTCTTTTGTGCACCGACGCCCTCCACGAGAGCCCCAAGAAGCCCTCAAGGGCTCGCAAGAGGCCCCCGAGAGAGCCTCAAAAGAAGGTCTCAAGAGGGCCCCAAAGACCTCCGCAAAGAGCCCCGCGGGAGGGCCCACAGAGTCCCAAGAAGGCTCCGAGAGGCGATGTTGAAGGCTTTGTTGTCGTCCTCGATGTCCTCCTCCTCGTCCTCGTCCTCGTCCTCGCCCTTGCCCTGATCGTCTTCCATGTCCTTCTCCTCCTCTTCCTCCTTGTCGTCGTGGTCGCCGTCGTCGTCGTCGCCGCCGTCGTCGTCGTAGCGGTCGTCGTCGTCGTCGTCGTCGTCGTCGTCTTCTTCCTCCTGCTCCTCCTTCCCTCGCCCCCACGCGGGCCCCAGGGATAGCCCAAAGATGCCCTCCAAGGCCACACCCTTGCCACCCCCTTGCTCCCAAAAATTTCTCTGTTCACAATGGTAGCCCGCTCTATTTCACTACATATGTCACTTCGACTCCATCCTGTCAACTCTCTAGGGCAGGGTCTGTGAATGGGCTGGTGGGGATACGCGGAACGTGAAGAATTGTCCATCGGTTCTTGAATGATTTTAGCGTTCTCGCCTTTTTTCAAAACTCGGGGGCACATGTTGGCCCAAGAAAATCTTGGATGGCCCCCAGACGGCCCCAGACGCCCCCAAGGGGGCCCCAAGACGGCCCAGGAGGGCCCCAAGATGGCCTAAAAAGGCCCCCATGACCGCCCGAGAGGCCTCCAAGACGGCTAAACAAGACTCCAAGAAAGCCCCAAGGCGGCCCCGAGTTGCCTCCCAGACGGCCTCCGAAAGGGGTCAGACGGCGCAAGAGCGCCCCAAGACGACCCTAGACGTCCCTAGGAGGTCCGAACAGGAGTTCCCAGAGATCCCCCAAAGAGGCCCCCAGAGGCCGCCGGGAAGCCCCCAAGAGGCTCCCGAGTCCCCCCCCCCCAAACGGCCTGAATAAACCACCAATAAGCTGGCGGAGTTGTTTCCGAATGTCGCGTTGTTGCTACGCTCGTCCTGGCGCTGAAACGTGTGTGGGGGGGGGGGGGCGCTGGCAACGCCCACTGGCCAGAAAGACACGGCAGAACAGCGCGGCAGACGAGCAGGGCAAACCACCCAGCGCCCTGTCTGTACGTGCTGTGGACGTGCACCCTGCGGAGCGAGAGGCAGGTCTGCGGAGGCCATGATGCAACGCATCACTCGCATTCTCAAAGTATTGCACCATCGTTGCACGTAATATTAGCTTACATCATTATATGCAATAGGAGCTCGACCACAAGAAACCTTCCGTAAGAAGCCCAACCCTGGGACCCCAAGACGTCCAACGATTTTGGGTGTGGAGCGTCACGCTCTCCATTGCAACACCGTCAAAACCCAGGACACCCGAAAATGCCCCCCCTCGTTTGGGACTCGGGGAAGCGGACCGCGAGCCTCCAGCGCGTCGTCGTCGAGCCGCGCACACGCGTCCATGCAGAGCTCGTCCAGCCGCGGCAGCTTGCCCCGCGCCAGCGCGGCGCCGAGCGCCCGGAGGCCGCGGGACCCGAAGGCGCTGCCGCTCAGGACGAGGGCCTCTCGGGGGCCCCCCCAATCGGCCGGGGCGCAGGAGGGCACGCCGGGTGCCGCGCGCCTCTCCCCTGGGGGCGCGGGAGGGAGGAGGAGAGCAGAGGGGGGCAGAGACACAGGGGGATGAGGAGAAAGGGGGAGGAGGAGGGGGAGGAGGGAAAGGAGGAGGACGATCTGAATCACTATCCGTGGATCAGAACCACCTCCATCTCCTCCTCCTCCTCCTCCTCCTCCTCCTCCTCCTCCTCATTACTACCGACCTATTCATATTTAGGTATGCTTACCATCCATAGATTTTCACCATCTTCATCAGCCCCTCGCTGACCAGGTGGGCGAACTCCCTATGCCCGGTTGCCAGCGGGCCGCTTTTTACCTGCCGGGTGTTCCTCTTGCTACGCATAAGTCTCACCTGCAGGCCACCGCGCCAGGTCGGCTCAGGTTCCGTGCAGCTTCCAAACGCATGCGGCGACCCCGGCTGCTCAGAGTCTGGCCAGCGTCAACAGGAGGAGGACCAAGAGGTGAGGACAAGCAGCAGCAGCAGCAGCAGCAGCAGCAACAGGACGAGGGAGCAGCTCTTTGGTTGACCCACAAAAGGGGTCCAGCTGAAAGGGGTGGTGCAACACATGTGGGGCAAAATTGCAAATGCATTGCGCCAGATACTTGTTTTGCATTGGTTTGCAGCTAATGTATGCGCGAACATCCAGCAATACAATTGCACACCCGAATGTGTTGCACGGCCCGAATCCACTGCATCCCCACAAATCTATTGCACCACCTCCGTTCAGCTGGACCCACATTTGGGCCAACCAGAAGGACGGGAACGGGTCAGGATGGGGAGGAGCCTCTAGCCTAAGTCGGGCCTGTCCCCCTACAGGGGGATTTGGGGAGATTTTTTGTTCCAAAGTATTCAAAAAATACTCCCAAAATTCTCAACAAGACTTAAAACATACTCCCCATGCAGACTATGTTTTACTATTTTTGAATTTCCCCCTCCTGTAGAGGGACAGGCCTGAATTAACTCTAGCCAGGGCAGGCCGAGCCGCCACGGGCAACTCCGGGATGAGACAGGGGGGGGGGGGGCAGCCTGGAACGGAGGCGCCCCCCCCCCCCCCCCGCCCCCTCTGCACTCGCACGAGCCGAGCAACACATAGGCAGCGAGCCCAGCGGGGGAGCGAGAAGGGTCACCCTCCTCCTCCCCCTCCTCCTCCTCCTCCTCCTCCTCCTCCTCCTCCAGGCCTTCTCCTCCTCCAGGCCTTCTCAGAAGGCGGCGGGGATTCTCAGCAGCCCCCCGTCCTTCCGAGAAAGCGCAGAAGCCTCCTCGGGAGGACGGGGGATGTCCGAGCCATCTGAGAAAGCGCGCCCCTTCTTTTCTTCCGCCCCAGGGATGCCGCCGAGAGCATACGCACAAAGCGAAGCGGGGGCAGCACAACCGGATCCGACGCCCGTGGAACCCGCGCGCCCCGGGGCCTCGCGGGCGCTCGACGCGGATGTGGGGGTTGGCCCCGGGGGGGCCGAAAGCATCCATGTCCACCGCCTGCGGAGATCTCTGGAGACTGATCCCCGCCTCGGAATATAGCACAAGCATACAAGAAGGGACCCAAGCACACAAACTGTATGGGTCTTGCCTACCCCCCCCGCTTCCCAGATGTTCCAATATTTTCGTGGGGATCGACGCTGAACTGTCTTGGGCGCCCGAGTTATCCGGGGTAACTCGGGTCCGGGGTAACTCGGGGATTTAGGATTCCCGATGATTCTGGGCTCTGGACGCCCGAAGTATCCGGGGTAACTCGGGTCCGGGGTAACTCGGGTTTGGATTCCCGAAAAGGAACCCGAGTTAGCCCTGACCCGAGTTACCCCTGATGATTCGGGGCTCTGGACGCCCGAAGTATCCGGGGTAACTCGGGTCCGGGGTAACTCGGGCTTGGGTTCCCGAAAAACGAACCCGAGTTATCCCTGACCCGAGTTATCCCTGATGATTCCGGGGCTCTGGACGCCCGAAGTATCCGGGGTAACTCGGGTCCGGGGTAACTCGGGTTCGGATTCCCGAAAAGCGAACCCGAGTTAGCCCTGACCCGAGTTACCCCTGATGATTCGGGGGCCCTGGACGCCCGAAATATCCGGGGTAACTCGGGTCCGGGGTAACTCGGGCTTGGATTCCCGAAAAACGAACCCGAGTTAGCCCTGACCCGAGTTACCCCTGATGATTCGGGGGCTCTGGACGCCCAAAATATCCGGGGTAACTCGGGTCCGGGGTAACTCGGGTTTGGATTCCCGAAAAACGAACCCGAGTTAGCCCTGACCCGAGTTACCCCTGATGATTCGGGGCTCTGGACGCCCGAAGTATCCGGGGTAACTCGGGTCCGGGGTAACTCGGGCTTGGACTCCCGAAAAACGAACCCGAGTTAGCCCTGACCCGAGTTACCCCTGATGATTCGGGGGCTCTGGACGCCCGAAGTATCCGGGGTAACTCGGGTCCGGGGTAACTCGGGTTCGGACTCCCGAAAAGCGAACCCGAATTATCCCTGACCAGAGTTACCCCTGATGATTCGGGGCTCTGAACTGTGTCTGTGTGCTTTGCCCCTCTTGATACACGCGGGCGGCGGTGCGTCGTTTGCCCTGGGCGGCACGGCCAGGCAGCGCCCGCCGCCGAGCCTACGCACGAGAAGGCGTCTGCGGGAGGGCGCGTCGCCGCCCCCGGGGGGGGGGGGGGGCGGGCGGCGAACCCACATGTGGCAGAAGTAGCACACGAGAAGCAGGGGATATGTCGACCCCTATCCCAGGCTTCGTGGGGTTTCCGAATGGACCAGAAATTTGAGGCCTAACCCTGGGATATACGATGGGGGGGTGCCCATCCTCGATAGGGGTGCGTCCGAATAGCCCCCTTGGGGTGTATCCCAGGGTTTTTCCATTTTTCTGAGCGGCCAAACTTTTTGGGCGAAACTCGGGGATTGGGGGAGAAACATCGCCTGCGAACGAGAAGCATGAAGTAGGAAGGCGGATATAGTGGATTGGGTCCAGGTCCTCCCAGAGAATAACAAGCACAGCAACAGCATGTCGGTTCTTGAGGTAGGAAGGCGCTTGAAGCAGATTTGGATCTGGGAATCTCAGAATACCTGCTTTCAACGACCGGCGTGCATGCTTGCGTGATGCGAGAAGCCACACAGCGCCAACCAGGGCTTCGAACTCTCCACCGGAGCGACCCGAAGAGATGGGCCTTACGAAAGATGCATAGCGACCCTGCGCTTAGGCGGGCATGTCCCCCCACAGGCGGATGTTGGGCGTTGTTTCGTTTGTTTGTTTTGTGTTATATGTGTATATAAATGTGTGTTTTTTGAAAAGAAACGGCAAAAAAACAAAATCTGTCAAAACATCGAAACATTGTCCCCATAGCATGTCTGGACTATTTCTAACGACCCACCCTGTAGAGGGACACGCCCGGCTTAACCTTACGCCGCGGCTCACGCGGGCTGCCGGCGTGGCACGCCATTCGCGGAGAAGAGAGGCATGCTCGCGCGCGGCCTCGCGCGGGAAGCCTGCAGGCCGGATCTCTGCAGGAAAAAGAAAGCAGCGTGGCAGAAAGGGCCAGTGTTCGAAGAAGAGAAAACGCCATAAATAGGAGACAAATAAACCTACCTCGCTTTTGACCACCCTCGCTTCCAGGAGATACCAAGCCATGCCAAACTACGGCATGTACTGGTCAGGCCGCCTGACGAGGAGGCGCGTGGTATGGCTTGGCTTTGCCTGGAAGCGAAAGCGGGGCAGGTAATTCACGCTCTGAAAGAAGAGAAAACGCAATAAACAGCAACTCTGTGAAGGGGAACTGGGACACACAAATAAATACACACAAATAAAAATATCCCCCATATTTTCCCATATTTTCTGGGTTTTTGCCTTCCCCCCCACTTCCCATATTTTCCCATATTTTCTGGGAATCGACGATTAATTGTGTCTGTGTGTTTTTCCCCTCCTGAGACTCTTGGCGCTCCGCGCGGATCTCTTGGATCCGCGCAGCCGAGCCCGTCGCCTCCCGCCGCCGAGCCCCCGGAGAGGAAACGAGGGCTGGAGCACGTCCGGACCCACGGCCGCAGCCTCCTGGCCGCGCGCGCTTCAAAAGGAAGGGGTAGGGAGGACGGGGGAAGGCGTCCTGCAAGGAGGCTGCCTCGTATCGGGAGCGGCCAAGAGGGGGGGTGTCCAAGAGGGGGGGGTGCAAATCATGACCGGCGGCATGTGCGCGGCCCAGCGGGGGGGCCAGGGACGTAACGAAACAAGAAGAGGCGCCATGAAATCTGGGGAAAAATCATGGCCCCCGCCATGATATCCACCGCCCCCCAGTCATCACCCCCCTCTTTTCCGCCCCCGATCGTAGATCTGGACGCCCGAAGTGGGACCGGAAAGACGCTCGCGCAAGAAAAATACCCCAAACACGCTCGGAAAGAATCCCAAAAGTTCGTCCCCAGACTAGTTTGGGACTGTTTCTCTGAACACTCCCTCTGTGGAGGGGCAGGCCCGACTTCGGTGTACCCCGCCTGCGCGCGGCCGAGAAGCATCGAGAGTGTCTCGACCCACGGCCGCAGTGGTCTGCTGCATCCTCGGGGGACCTTGTCTGTCCCGTCGCGGCCCTGTCCGAGACGAATCCGTGTCGAATCCATGTCGGACTCGTCGGATCCGTGTCGAATCCGTGTCGAACCCGCGTCGAGTCCGCGCCAAGTCCGCGTCGAGTCCGCATCGAGCCCGCGTGGGGCACAAGAAGAGACACCAATTTGGGGGACAGGCGAGGCCCCCCGAAGATGCAACGTAACGCAGTGGTCTGGCTCGCGGCCCGACCCAGGAAGGGAAGAGTAGCCCTCGAGAACACGAGGCCCTCCGCCGGCAAACCACTGAGGAGGCTTCGAGGGTGCGAGCAGCCAACAAGCACGACGCCCCTCGAGAGCATGAGGCCCTCCGCTGGCCAACCACCGAGGAAGCTTCGAGGCCCCCCGGGATGCACAAGAACAGCCAACAAGCACGACATCCTTTGAAGGGGCCCCAGGACACACAAATAAATACACACACAAATCAACATATTCCCCATATTTTCCCATACTTTCTGGGTCTCTGTCTTCCCCTCCCACTTCCCATATTTTCCCATATCTCCTGGGGAATCGAGGATGACTTGTGTCTGTGTGCTTCTTTCCCTCCTGAGCCTTCAAGAACACGGGGCCCTCCGCCGGCCAACCACTGAACTGAGAAGCCTTCGAGGGCGCCCCACCCCCCAGGATTAGGGACCCCACAAAGGACGTACGCGCCCAGCTATGTACACGAACGCGGCCCCTTGACCCGCGAGACCTGCCGCGTGATACGGACAATCGTGCAATGCGAACTCTCGAAAACAGCGTGGATTCATGTACGTGTACGTCCTTCTTTCGCTCCTGAAGGATGCACAGGAACATCAGACAAGCACGGCGAACATCAGGGTACTCTCCCCGGGCCGGCCTCGACCTTGGAACTACCCCGGTCCCACCGCACCGCACCGAAGACGCCCGCCCCGCGCAGGGGCCCCGGAGCCTCCAGGGGCGGCAGCGCGTCGGTCTCGGCGCTGCGGGCCAGCTGCATCAGCTCGGAGTCCCCGAACTTCTGCCGGAGGGAGCCATGGCCACGCAGTAAAGGAAAGCAGAGGGCGAGGACCGCTCCGGGTGAGGAGGAATCGGGAATCTCTGAGATCCGGCGGCTCTGGAGGCTGTCTCGGGCGCCGCGGCCTCGTCAGAGCGCTCCAGAACGCTCTGAGAGAGTTGCCGAACGCTCTGGGACGGATCGATCATCGTCCTAGCCCCGTCCGACCCAGAGCTCCCATGAGATCCTGGCGTCGCAACTTTTTCCCCAACGGACGACTGCTCTTTATAATTACTTTGGGCCCCAAGACCCCCACGGATCGATCCGCCTCCAGACATACAGCAGAGAGATGTGGTCCAGTGCTCCCGTCGGGCTGTCTTCGATGATCTTGTTTGTGACGTCGAATCTCGGGGTCCAGCGATCTGAATTTTACTCCGTGCTGGCGTATCCCCATCGAATCCATGTCGGACTCGCCGGATCCTTGTCACATCCGTGTCGAATCCGCCTCGAATCCGCGCCACATCAGCGTCGCCTCCGCCTCGAGCCCGCGTGGGCACAAGAGAAGATACCAAGTCGGAGGACAGGCGAGGTCCCCCGAAGATGCCACGTGACATAACAGCGCTGCCCCGCGCTGGCAGCACGCATCGCACATGCACCTCGACTGGTCCCGGCTGGGCTCATCCTGGGCCAGAAGGAGCCCTGGGACACACAAATAAATACACATAAATAAAACGATTCCCCATACTTTCCTATGTTTTCTGGGTTTCTGTCTTCCCCACCACTTCCCATATTTTCCCATGTTTTCCTGGGGATCGACGAATCATTGTGTCTGTGTGTATTTTTCCCTCCTGACTGGGCCCTGGGATCGGCCAGGCCAGGGGGGTTCACGTGCACTGTCCCGCACACCTGGAGCCCCGACATCGCGATTTGCGCAGGGCGTGGGCCCTGGTGAACGTTTTCTCATTCTCGGGAGCGGCCAAGAGGGGGGTGTCCAGGAGGGGGGGGTGCAAATCATGACCGGCGCCGGCGGCCATGTGCACGGCCCAGCGGGGGGGCCAGGGACGTAATGAAACAAGAAGAGGCGCCATGAA